ATTATATATATACTAGCGACTCACCTTGACTTCACCTTGACAGCACATCTGTCCCAAATATTTATTTTTATTTATTTTATATATTATAGAATATATTTTCGTTCATTTGCCTCGTGTACAAGGAATTGAAATCACAACGTCCATCACAAAAACACTCCCTAAACATTCCATAAAAACTTTCACAAAATCGGAAGCTTCAACATTATGAAATATTAAGTCTCAAATTGCTCGCCAAATATTCCCAAAGCTGCCAAATTAAAAATTCAGTGAGGATCCGGCGTCTAAAATTTGTCTAGTACAGAGTGACCTCCCGTATACTTACACTTAGAACCTACGAGTGGGTGAAGTACAGTTCTTTGAAAACTGGTCGTATTCAAAGCAGGAATCAAATACAAATATTCAAAATATTTCATTAAACCGGACTGTTTGTCCGTCCCCTCATGTACATGTTTCGATGTACATAATAAGAAAACTTCGAGTTTCGAGGATACTTTCTTAGTCTGCTGCGTAATTTCGCATGCACAAAGACTTTGGGAGAACCATTATATATTATGTATTTTAGAAGCATTTCTTTGTTTGAATGGAACTAATGTGCATATATAAAAAATCCTGAAAATATGTCATCTGTGTGAGAAATCTACATAGCTCTCTTTAAAACAATAACTTATAATTTCTATAGCATATCTATCAATAAACGGAAATATGGATAAAACAAATCAAACATAAAAAATACCAAACATGAATAAAAAACGGTCTACTTTTAACTACGGACATGACAACACGTAAGAAGAATGGTGAATAGCAAAAAAATCTGTATTTCTGTTACGACTCGCACGCGGTCATTGTTGCTCACCGAATCCCCTCGAAACGTCGCATTTATCTGCGAATTTGAATGGAGACTGCGAATTTTTGATTTTCCCATTTCCCGTTAATGTAGACTGACAGCACTTTGATGTATATTGAATTGAAAAAGATATTATTACATCGTTGATATTTTAATTATTTATAAGTGAAATATATTTTTTTAATGTAATTTTTGTATAAAAAAAAACTAATTCGTTATTTATAACAACAATTTAAAACTACTTATTTTACAAAAAGAAAATGAGGCTATATTCAACTAACAAATACAAGGAACTCCTCAAAATAAAGTAAATTCGAGGAGTTTACGATTTTCAATCTATCTATACATATAATAAAATTCTAACTAAGCCGAATCTGTACATTAAATATTTTTTGAATAATCTTATTGAAATAGACATTATTATTGATGCAGAGGTCGAATCTATAGTTTTTATAATTTTTGTTTGTCTGTCTATCTGTTACCGCATCACAGAAAAACCACGGGAGGGATTTGGATGGAATTTGGTATGGTGATAGCTAGTTATCCGGGTCAATATAGCATACTTTTTGCCGCGGAAAAATGTATTATTTCTGAGAAAAAACACAAAAACTGCCATGTAAGAGTATACTAATATGTAAAACCTAAGAATTTGGTTTTTGGTCATCTGAACGCAGGCGGAGCCGCGGGCAATGCTAGTTAACTATATATCAGTTCAAAGACGCCAAATTCTCAAAAAAAGACGAATGCCATACACTTGCAAACTATTAAATCGATGGGACAATTTAAAGTAATATTACTCGTACATATACGAGTGAAGTTAATTAAAACGTGTTTGATAAAATCACATTCTGAAATTATCACTTATTTAGAAAGTTAGAGCCCTAAACACTAAACAATCCTTATCATGCTATTATTATGTAGATGGCCCCTACTTTTAATAACCGCTGTGAGCATTTCCCTACTGCCAGCCATTTCATTGTTAGGGACTTTGAGTGGGCTGATGTTTATATAGCATTAAAATCTTTACGACATTTTAATTAATATTTATTTCTAGTAAACATGACTAGTCTACTAAAATAATTAAATTAATAAAGTTGTATTAATACATTATACACAATAATAATTGTGTTTGTTTATTCTTATAAAAAAAAACGTTATTTAAAATAACGATTTTATTTAAATAGATTGCTTCCCAATACAAACTTTCATCCCCATTTTCACCCCCTTAAGAGGTGATTTCCGGGATAAAAAGTATCCTATGTCCTTCCCAGGGTCTCAAACTATCTTCTTACCAAATTTCATCTAAATCGGTTCAGTAGATCCAGAGATTACCCCCTACAACGTAACAAACTCACAAACTTTATCTCTTTATAATATTAGTATAGATTAATTAAATAATACGTCTTTTAAAGTTACTTTGGTTCGATAGTTTTTTAATCTTGTATTTATTATTTACGTAGCTAGGGCCGACCTCGGCATTGTAATGTGACAAAATGTTTGACAAAATACTAAGTAAAAAACCATTTAGTTAATGAGGGAATTCGTTGGTGATTAGTGGAACGCGTAACGAGAATAGCTTTCAAATTACGTTGATTTATTTGATTCGTTTTATAAGTTCCATACATTATAGTTGGCCAATAACATCCTACTAATATTATAGACGCAAAAGTTTGTAAGAATGTATGTATGGAATGGATGTATGTTTGTTACTCTTTTACGCAAAAACTACTGAATGGATTTTGATAAAACTTTACAATAATATAGCTCATACATCAGAATAACACATTGACTACTTTTTATCCCGGAAATATGTATGGTTCCCGTGGGATAGATTTGTTTTTGTTTTTCTAGAAGCGAAACTGAGCGGAGCGAGGGCGAGCCGCTAGTTTTAAATAATTTTATCATATACCACAAACCATCGTGATGACGGTATCCCATTTTAATCACTTATATGTATACATACATACTTCAAAGATGGCAAAAAGGCGAGCACTCAATTGCAGAACACTTATTAATCAGCTTTGTCGCAAACCAAACATTAGCAAGCACCACTTGCACAAGAAAGCTCGCCACTAATTACGTAAAAAACATCTCTTCCCTTCAAACACACTCCCTTCATAATCCCTCAAAGAACGTCCAGTTTATGACTGGACCAAACTTATCTGACCTACCCTTCCCCTCTCGAGCGGTTTTAAATTGGAAGAAAACGTGGGGATTCTTGGATGTCCAGAGGTCAACTTTCTCTGGATTGGGTGGTGGTACTTTCGTAAATTAATTCCTGTATCTGCGAGGGCAGCTATAAGCTATAATCCAGAAATGATCGGATGTCCCCTCACCACGATAAATGCTCTTTAATGGCTCTAAATGGCTGAGAGCACCCTGCATAATTTTTGTGACATCTTACGTCTCGGTAAACAGTGTTTTGATGGCATCATCATTATCTCCATACATATTAACTATAATAATTTTATGTTACCTATAACTTCTTAGTGTGGAAATAAATAATATTATAATTTCCTATGGATTATGTAAACTAATTGTTAATCGCATAATTCAACGTTTTTTTAATTTTTAAAACACAAGGCGCAATTCTTTTACACAAAGATGTAACATAAATTGTACAAAATTTTATATGAGGAGCGTCGGAACAAAAACCGATAAATCACATTTGTGTTTTTTGTGGAAAAATGTAAAAATATGGCTAAGTTCATAGTTTTCAACCAATTGGCATCATAAAAAAAATATGTCAAAATGTGATTTATTGGTTTTTGTTCCGACGCTCCTCATATAATAAAATCACGAGAATCGAACCCATAACATTCTGTTTATTAATAAATGCTGAAACACAAAACGATTTGGTGACACGTTTGGCTCAGTTTGTAGTTGTACTTGCTGTGCCAGCGGTCGCGGGTTCGGGTCCCGTTGAGGGCATTCATGTGTGTGATGACGAATGTTTGTACTCCAGTCATGGGTGTTTATATTTATAATATGTATATATTTAAAGTTATATATGTGTAGTGTATCAACTATCTGGTATCCATAACACACGCTTCGTAACTTACCATGGAACTAGATGGTGCTATGTGTTAATGTTCCAACATATTATTAACAAAAGCGCTGGTCAAATCAAAATATTTTCATAATAAGCGAAAAACGGATACAGAGAGAATAATTTCATTATACTATAATACAACTTTAAGTAAGAGTTCATATTTCAGTTACTTCATACCACTTATAGGGTGCTTGCTACACGAAGCGTTTAGAAGCAATTTCAATTTTGCCAGCAAGCCCTGTGTAGCGCCCGTGAACAAAGCATCGCTGAACATCCAAATTACATTTTACACTGAATAAATATTAAAATACTGTATTCTTTTATAAATTTTTGAAATAATAAATGGATATTGTCGGAACTTGTTTTCGCAGACTCTTTCTTATTTAGTAAATATTTGATTGTGAGACTCGTTTTAGTTTAACCTTGTATATTATGTGTAAACATTGTGTAAAGTAGAAGAAAAATTGAATATTGATGTTTACTACTTTATAAGAAAATGACTTACAATATTTTTATTGGTACTAAATAGGAAATTAAATACTTCTTAAGGTACACAAAAAAGAATAGATTTTTGTTTTTTTTTTCTATAATGGCTTATAGTTGCGTAAACAGACGCAATCCATTCTGCCAGTGTCACGTTTTGTGAGAAAGACACGAATGAGATTGAGCGGTAATTTTGAAATTTAGTAAATATAGATATAATTTAGATTTTTGTTAATAAGTTCAGAAATATAATTTTTTATATCTGTCAGACCAAAACGTCACTGTCTAATCAGACAGTATCAACTTTTTTAATTTAGAAGAAATAAATTAACACGTTATTAAAAAAAGGCAAAAATATTAAAACTATTGTTTATAAAGCTCTACCAAAGAATTTATTCAACTATTTTTTTAATATTATTTTATTAGATTTCATATACTTTATTACATAGATAAAATTAAAAAAAAAAAATATTTATGAGAAATGGTTGTTTGTATACAGCCAGAAGTAATTTTTTTTAAAGTTTTAAAAACATAAATATGGATGTTTTTATAATAAAAAAATATATAAATACTTTTGTGTCTATAAGTAAATATGATTTTGACTTAGTGTAAATAACATACCTCCAGGGCGGAAGATAGCGAGGCCTTCTCCTGCTTCAGAGTTTCCACGCGGCTTTTGTATTGCAGCAGCGAGCGCACCGTGTCCTCCATCCTGGAACAAATAAATATAAATGTTAAATAATATTTTATTTTACCAACCTTTAATTTTCAGATACATATACAAAATTATAATTTTGAAGGAACTACGAGTATATTAAAATCGATGCAAGATAAAAATACAATTTCCCTGCTTTCTTTTAAAACTGGTTTAGTAATAATTATTTTTATGTTTGATTACATTGATTAATATTGTTCTTAATAGATTAATTTACTATATTAGCGACTAGCATTGCCCGCGGCTCCGCTCGCGTTGAGATGACCAAAAACCATATTCTTAGGTTCTACATATTAGTATACTCTTACAATTCAGTTTTTGTATTTTTTCTCAGAAATGAGATATTTTCCCGCGGTAAAAAGTATCCTATATGTTGACCCGGATAACTAGCTATCACCATACCAAATTTCATCAAAATCTCTCCAGTAGTTTTTCTGTGATGCGGTAACAGACAGACAGACAGACATAAAATCTAAAAACTATAGATTTGGCCTCTGTATCGATAATAATGTTCATTTCAGTAAGATTTTCCAAAAAATATCTAATGTACAGATTCGGCTTAGTTACAATTTTATTATATGTAGGTATAGATTATAATTTACATATAATTTAAATATTAAAATAATAAAACAAAATACACAATACATATCTTTAATGCTTTGAACATATTACAATTTTTCTCTATGTACCAATAGAGAATTAAAAAGAAAAAGAATTCAAATTTGTTGTTTCTTATATAACATAATATATACTGGATTATAAGGAAATTAAAACAAAATCTCTCGATTTAAGGTCGCAGAGACGCTTAAAATTATAATAAGCTGGTAATCCAAAGTGATAGCAGCAAGTACTTGCGAACAAAACAAAAGGTGATCTCCGGAATCGTACCTCATTATGCGAGTGGATTTAAGTCGCGAGGAATAATTTATAACAATGAACAAAATTAGTATCAGATAAACTATGGACAGGCCTCTGCGATTTAGTTAATAAAACCTATATCACATGCAAAGATACCACAAAACTTTTAGTTTTCTGGCGAGGCGAGGCTTCAAATTCATTAAATTTAGGTACACTTCTAGTCTTTTAGACCAAAAACATGAGATCCCAAGGTTGTCAATATGATTAGTTAATCCAGTAACGTCACTTTGATTATGATATCAATGCCAGTCATAAACTATGGATGCCTATGATATATTTTGGTCAAAAATGAGGGCAGACATTTTAACAGTATACGTAATATTTAGTTTAAAAATCATATTATTTTTAATACTTCGTATAACTTAGAAACTTTAACGTTTTTAAAGGTACTAACAGAAAAATACGTTAAAGTCAAAGTTACACCATCGCATGTAGAATATGATATATTCCTTTGTTTTGAGCCGAGCTTTCGTAAGTAGCGAAGTTTTCTTAAGTCTGGTTCTAATTAGAGTTGAGGATAAGTCGCAAATTTTATTTTAGTCGGTTACGTTAATATCTACAAAGTACCTAAGTTAGTTTAGACTTTAGAACGTAAAATTTTACTAAACCTAGAAAATATTTCTAAAAAAATATACAAACAGACTATTTGACAAAATTAGTAAAATAATTTGTAACAATTATTTTCGCTATTAATATTAAAAAAATCTTATTTACAAAATTTATTGGTACCTTGTTTTTAATTCGTACCTATCTTTGGACATCACCACTGTCTATGCTACTTGCCTATATCTATACATATAATAAAATTGTAAGTAAGCCAAATCTGTACAATAAATATTTTTTGGAAAATCTTATCGAAACAAACATTATTATCGATACAAAGTCCGAATCTATAGTTTTTAGATTTTTTGTCTGTCTGTCTGTCTGTTACCGCATCACGAGAAAACCACTGGACAGATTTTGATGAAATTTGGTATGATGATAGCTGGTTCTCCGGGTCAACATATAAGATACTTTTTACCGCAGGAAAATACCTCATTTCTGACAAAAATACAAAAACGAAATTGTAAGAGTATACTAATATGTAAAACCTAAGAATTTGGTTTTTGGTCATCTGAACGCGGGCGGAGCCGCGAGCAATGCTAGTAATAATAATAAATTTAAACGGACACCTAAGTCGCTGCTATTTCAAAAAATGTAATATTTAATTTAAAGAAGGAAAAAAAGGTGGAAAATTTAACATCTAAATTGATTCAAATAGAAATTTCCTCAAAGCGAAATATGTCCTCACATAATAAAGTAACTGGCGAGAAAAATCGTATAGATCCTATTATTCTTTCGCGAAGAATACGGCGTGGCAAAATTCAGTAGAGCGTACAACGTTCTTGAATGAACTTTTTCAATAAATTTGAATGGAAGCTCGTCGCAATATCATTTGGATATCTTCATCCGTAAAAGAATATGATTAGGGAAAAATTTCGCAACAAAAGATGTGTTTATTTAGAACTATATTAGAATATATGACAAATTTTGCTTTTACTTATTTTAATGATTATTAAAGGAGTTATTGCGTGTATATCATATTTGGTTCAAAACCACTTAATTTATATAGCAACAAGCGACTCACCGTCGCTTCACGTTTTGACGGTTAGTATGAAATACAAATCTTTGAATTTCTCGGCTTTTCTATATTATACTCGTAATATGCATGTATTATACATACATATAAACTATATCTATTGCTGAAAGCTACATTAAAATCTGTTGAGTAGTTTAAAAGATCTAAGCAACAGACAGCGGAAGTGACTTCATTTTATACTATGTAAAGAAGAGGCGATTGCTAAGTTCAGTTTATAATTTAAAAACTAAAATACCGATTGGGAAACTCAGCATCTACTTTATATTAAAATAATTTGTTTATTTATTGAGCGAGTACGCATAAACACAAACAATGTAGACAAGGATCAAAATTGAAATAATTAATTTGATTCTAAAATGTTATACTTTAATCAAATCGTTTTAAAATTTTATGAAAATTGTCTTACAATTACCGTAGATGTAGCATAATATTTACAAAAGTAAAAAAATTAAACTCGAATTGAGTACTTCCTCCTTTTTTGAAGTTAGTAAAATTTTTTACACTAAATAAAAATAAAACGACGTGGAAATTTGTTTATATTAACAAAGATATTTTTTATGCGCATATACGTAAAGTCGTTATGTATTATACATATGTATAAGTTTTCTGCGATTTTGATTGCCATTTCTCATTAGGCAGACGACCGCGGGTTTGAATCTTATTCAATGTAAGCTGCATCCATAATAAAAACAATCGAATAGAAATACTGCCATTCTAGAAAAATCTATTTTCTATTTTTTCTAAATTTCCCAAAATTAGTCTAACACGAGGACATAATAATATATTCTATGTACATTTGTTGGAAGTTATTTTACACATAAAACATTTCGCCTAGTAATTGCCAGCTAATGAGATAGCTGTAGTCTAGTTCGTGACTTTATTCACGTGATTCATGTGATTAATACCGCATTAGTTCACGGTGAATTAATGCTTTGTGCTTGTAATTCTATGTAAAGTCCTAATAAGACTGTATGGAAAATCCGATATAAATATTACAATTCCATGTTCCTGTCAGTGAGCGTTACGCAGGGTTTTTGAAATTTGAAAAGAGTCATTAAATTTCAATTATGCACATTGTACGTAATGAAATATTTTTTACTAGCATTGCCCGCGGCTCCGCCCGCGTTCAGATGACCAAAAACTTAGGTTTTACATATGAGTATACTCTTAAGTCGCAGTTTTTATATTTTTTCTCAGAAATGAGATATTTTACCTCGGTAAAAAGTATCCCCTATGTTGACCCGGATAACCAGCTATCACCATAATAAATTTCATTAAAATCCCTCCAGTGGTTTTTCTGTGATGTGGTAACAGACAGACTGAGAAAAATTCTAAAAACTATAGGTTCGGCCTCTGTATCGATAATAATGTTTATTTCAATAAGATTTTCCAAAAAATATTTAATGTACAGGTTCGGCTTAGTTACAATTTTATTATATGTATAGATTATGATTTTTATGAGTATTATAATGATTTTTTAGCTAATTTCTTTCATGATATATATCATGAAAGAAAATAGCTTTGCTTTCCTATATAGGAAACCAATGGTGGTTGTCTTTTTAAGAGAAAATTCAACCCTTAAAACGGTAGCAGTTTGTGTGGTAAATAATAATTTTAAGGGTGTCAAATTAAAAACGTGGCTGGGCAGGACAGACCGCTCCTTAATTGTAAATATTATATTTAACTAAAGGTAAAAATAAAAAAGGATTTATTTAAATATTAAATACCATTATATAACACATATTTAACTAGACGTTATCTAAAAATATGATTCAGCTTGAGATTACAGAGCATACCAACTACCAAGAACTATCTACATATATAATATGTCCCATTACATACATATATCTGCTTAAGAAACATTGCCCCAGAATGGCCCTAGAAGGTCATAGGGCCATTCTGGGGCAGTCAGGTAAAAATTCAAGCAAAGTGCCGGTTAGGTTAAATATATAAATAAAGGTATCTATATATTTATAATCATGAGATGGATATGACAGACAGTTTCATAACTGACTATGCACAAAATATAAACCGTTGCGATTCGCACATAATTTCCCTTGTGTAAAATCTACGAAATGTTATCACCAGTCTCGATCGAACGGCGTCCGTGGGCTTATTACTACGTAATTTAATGTTTTTTTTTTACTAGAAACGCGTATTTACTGCTGGAGCTTTTACGGTCCACAGTCACGGGATATCGACCGATGCTTTTGTTTTGACGATTTGCGTTATATATATATGTACATCAGATTGGTGGTATTTGGGGTATGTTTGTAAATGAAAAGTAAATTTTAGGTATAGATATAAAAGTTGCGACATTAATAGTGGTTTATGATGATATTAAAACATTTCTGAGCAATAGTTTCTGATCATAAAATCTGTCCATAGATTTTTTGCTCAAGCACCGTCGTATAATTCGCATTTTACATTAAATAATATAATTTTACATCAAATTAATTGGTTTATATTTAAAATAGCACTATTTTGTTCGTCTATCCCTAAACGTTCTACGAAACAAATTACAAAAAATAAAAAGAAGCAACATAAATAATATTTACAATGCCGTAATGGATGTGTGTTTTAGCCGTGTTGGACACAGCGCACCCCCGCGACAAATTACCTGCACCCTTGACCATATGAGCCCCATAAATCTTTGTCTGAGCCTGGTTTTAGGGCTTATACGATAAAACCTATATACGTTTTAAAATCAGTGAAATTTAGCTATTGCGAATGCATATATACGACCATACAGTTTGTCTGAACATGAATATTTATGTAGTTTAGTTTTAAATTTTGAAACAGAATACGAGTAGTTTTAAGATATTAAATTACGTTGAATTAAATTCAATGAGAGATAATGGTTTTATGCTTTCTTCATAAAAGAGAAAATAGAAGAATCTAGAATAAAATGAACTTGTTTCTTCTTAGAAGTTATTTTTTTAGGAACTTAATGCTTGCTCTAAGTCTTTTATTTTATAAAAAAAAGCAAATGCATTTATTTATTATGTATATTGTAAATAGGAGATAGCTGTGGACTAAACTGTTTTTTTTTTTATATTCCTGTTACTTTTATCATCAAACACGCCCCCTTCACGCTGTATACTGTTACCAGGTAGGTACATCACGTCATTTGGCTCGACTGTCTAGTCGAAGGTACCCTTTATAAATTTTGACAGGCTTAATTTTGAGACCATTACTTATTGCATTCAGTGCTGGTTCAGGGTTGGCTTCTAGGAAATAGCATGTGCAATTAGTTTAATATTTGGGGGAGTGCTCTTTAGCTTTTGTTAGGTGGATGGTAAAACGATTACGGAATGGATTCAATATTCACTCGCG